GAGCAGCTTACAACCTCCCCCCCAGATACTCAGACGGGCACCGAAACCCCCAGAGAACCAGGAACGTGCCTCCTGCCCCGACTGAATTTTTATGGTTTTATGTTCTTCAGAGTTTCTTTTAGTGCTGCTTTTCCCGAGAGCCCAATTTACGCTGGAGCCAAGATCTTTGCCGTGACCCCATCAAACAGCGCTGGGAAGGGCCGGCTGGCTCGGCTTCCACAGCAGTCTCTGTGAAAAAAAAATCCTCCTTTTGATCAAAAAACTTTTAAAAGAAGAAGTGGGAATGAACCTCAGGCTCACACAGGAAGAGTGTGGGAACCTGACAAGCAGCCGTGATTTTGGGGGGGTGGTGAGGGGTCTTCCCGCACCCCAAAACAGGCTTCATAGAGGGACCCTCCACCTGCACTCCTATCTCAATCCCAATCCGAGGATTATTTTCCTTCTTTTTTTCTTTTAACTCCCTTTTAACGTAGATTTTGCTTCCTTTGGAGACGGCACAAACCCATCACCCTTCCAGAGCACTGCAGACCTGTGGCACCGGGGAAGGTTTCAACAGCTGGAGGTCTGGATGACCCCCCCCAAAACCCCCAAATCCAGGCTCTCCTGCCTGAAAACCAACACGGTCTTCTGCTCGGTGGCTCTGCTAAGGAGATGTCTGCCTCAGCCGGTGATGGCCCCGCGGGGCAAGGAGAGACGTCTGCGGCTGAGCCGGCCGCGGGAGCAGCCAGCGTGGGCACGGAGGGTGCCTGCAGGGAGGGGAGGGTGCGGGGGCTCCGGCGAGGGATGACACTGATGAGCAAGAGCTCGTGGAGCAGGAGGAGAGCACAGAGCGGGGTCTGAGCAGTGGCCGGCAGCGCGGCAACGTTACTGTTCATTGAGCCAGGACAGTCAAACCCACCCTCGACTTCTTCCCACCCAAGCGCTGCGTGGGGACGCGGCACCCACCTGCAGTTCCACTTCTCCGGAGGTTCCGCGGTGAAGTACTGCAGGTCCCTGGGGAAATGGTACTGGTAGCGGCGGGAGACCACCCTGGCGTTGGCTTTCACGGACCAGAGGAGCCCGAAGAGGAGGAGGATGCCACCGATGCCGCAGCAGAAGAAGCTGACGGAGCGGAGCAGGGCGTTGGAGGAGGAGCTGGGAACCACCTCGGCTTCCCGGGGAGGCAGGAGGCGAGCCCCGCTGCTGGCCGGTGTGCCCACCTCCCCGTCGCTCCACCAGGCAAAGCACAGCGTTCCCGTCACCAGCAGCACGGCCCCAGTGATGGTCATGCCGTAGCGGAAAGAGGCGGCTGCCATCCTTCAGAAGGAGGTTTTAGGAGGCGAGAAGGGTGAGACAGGGCATGAGAGAGTCCACGTCCTGCAAGACAGGAAAGGGAACGGGTTTGAGAGGGACAAGGTCATGGAAGAAGACATACCAGAGGAGAAAATTGCTGAGCTAGGACCTCTCTGGGGGTTGCACACTCTTCAGCTACTGATTATTGACCATCAGAAGGGGCATTTGCACCATCTCAGATGGGAAGCCCTTGTGCAGGGCGAAGTCAGCCACCAGTTTGGACCCATAAATGGCCCAACAGCCTCGTAAAACCATCCTCAAGCAATGACCCAGCGCTCCCATGGAGGCAGGATGGAAACTGCAGCCAGGGCAGCTCTGGAGGCAGCTCCAGGGACTTCCAGAGCTCTTGTCTTTGGGTTTTATCTCAGACTCCGTCCCAAGCTCAGAGGAACACCAGCTGGGTTTCTGACCAAAGCAAGGCTTATGGAAGAGGTTAGGGAGAGGGACATAAATTTAAGACGTCATCGTTTCTGAATTATCAGTGCACATGTTTTCTCCTCTGAAACAGGAGGTAAATCAGTCCTGCAGTGACGGTGTCTGGCATCACTGCTTGAAAGCCCAGGAGATTCGGGGCTGCGCTGCTTCTTGCTTTCTCAGGGAAAAGAGCCGAGTGCCATCTCTGAAAGTCATAGAGCTGCTATTTCAGGGAATAATCAATCCTTGGATGCTGGCAACCCAGGGTACCTCATCTAGGGATGGCACCCAAGACGCCGAGTGAGCGGAGACCCCAAAGAACACTCCCGTGACTGATGGAGCCCACCACAGCCAATCTCGGAGCGAGGAAGGGAGTGGGAATCACTCCGTATCTCCGTTACAAGTCAGGAATGTGCTGGATAGAAGCTAAACCCTTGGAGATGGTATGACCTCCT